ACGGGGGCTGTCAGAGACACCATGGCTGGCAAGCCAGTGACTCGTTCATTAAAACTAACACCTAACCAGGGTCTGACTTTGACCCAGAGGGGCCCCAACACCGTGACTATGGGCCATGGTGGTGGTGGGGGGGGGACTGTCACCTGCAGTCATGGGTCCCGGAGCTGTGTGTGTGGGGGGATCTAGGGGTCCCGCAGCTGTGTGTGTGTGGGGGGGGGGACTGTCACCTGCAGGGGGTCCCGGAGCTGTGGGGGGGGGGGGGAGCCTGTCACCTACAGGGGGGTCCCGGAGCCGCTGTGTGTGGAGAATCTGGGGGTCCCGGAGCTGTGTGTGTGTGGGGGGAGTCTGTCACCTGCAGTGGGTCCCGGAGCTGTGTGTGGGGGATCTGGGGGTCCCGGAGCTGTGTGGGGGGATCTAGGGGTCCCGCAGCTGTGTGTGTGTGGGGGGGGGCTGTCACCTGCAGTGGGTCCCGCAGCTGTGTGTGTGTGTGTGGGGGGGGAGTCTGTCACCTGCAGTGGGTCCCGCAGCCGCCGCAGGTCCTGCTCCAGCCGGTAGATGGAGTCCCGCAGCTCGTTGTAGGCCTGTACGTCCAGACCGGACTTGCGGCTCTTCTTGTAGAAGGAGAGCAAGAAGGAGCGGTCCTTGACGTCGGGAAGCACGTAGTCCTGGCGGCCGGGCGGCGGGCGGCGTCAGTGGTAAACTTACAGCACACGGTCTGTATATGACACACCACAGCCCCCAGAGACCGGCCGGGCGGCGGACGGCGTCAGTGGTAAACTCACAGCACACAGTCTGTATACAACACACCGCAGCCACCAGAGACCGGCCGGGCGGCGGGCGGCGTCAGTGGTAAACTCACAGCACACAGTCTGTATACAACACACCACAGCCCCCAGAGACCGGCCGGGCGGCGGACGGCGTCAGTGGTAAACTCACAGCACACAGTCTGTATACAACACACTGCTACCCCCCGAGACCGGCCGGGTGGCGGACGGCGTCAGTGGTAAACTCACAGCACACGGTCTGTATACAACACACTGCTGCCCCCAGAGACCGGCCGGGCGGCGGACGGCGTCAGTGGGGGGCTCACAGCACACGGTCTGTATACAGCACACGGTCTGTATACAACACACTGCTGCCCCCAGAGACCGGCCGGGCGGCGGACGGCGTCAGTGTGGGGCTCACAGCACACGGTCTGTATACAACACACTGCTGCCCCCAGAGACCGGCCGGGCGGCGGACGGCGTCAGTGGTAAACTCACAGCACACAGTCTGTATACAACACACCACAGCCCCCAGAGACCGGCCGGGCGGCGGGCGGCGTCAGTGTGGGGCTCACAGCACACAGTCTGTATACAACACACCACAGACACCAGAGACCGGCCGGGCGGCGGACGGCGTCAGTGGTAAACTCACAGCTCACGGTCTGTATACAACACACCACAGCCCCCAGAGACCGGCCGGGCGGCGGACGGCGTCAGTGGTCAGTGTGGGGCTCACAGCACACGGTCTGTATATGACACACCACAGCACACCCAGAGACCGGCCGGGCGGCGGACGGCGTCAGTGGTAAACTCACAGCACACAGTCTGCATACAACACACTGCTGCCCCCAGAGACCGGCCGGGCGGCGGGCGGCGTCAGTGTGGGGCTCACAGCACACAGTCTGTATACAACACACCACAGCTACCAGAGACCGGCCGGGCGGCGGGCGGCGTCAGTGTGGGGCTCACAGCACACAGTCTGTATACAACACACCACAGACACCAGAGACCGGCCGGGCGGCGGACGGCGTCAGTGGTAAACTCACAGCACGCAGTCTGTATACAACACACCACAGCCCCCAGAGACCGGCCGGGCGGCGGACGGCGTCAGTGGTAAACTCACAGCACACAGTCTGTATACAACACACCACAGCCCCCAGAGACCGGCCGGGCGGCGGACGGCGTCAGTGGTAAACTCACAGCACGCAGTCTGTATACAACACACTGCTACCCCCAGAGACCGGCCGGGCGGCGGGCGGCGTCAGTGGGGGGCTCACAACACTCAGGGCCAGCATACAACACAGCGCAGCCACCCTGGAGGGCGGCGACAGCGCGGACACAGCCTGCCGAACCGACACACAGCCCGGCTACCGTACTGCAGGCCGTGGGTCTCACCTGTTTGGTGATGACGAAATAGCCGTAGGCGGCCATGGCGGTGCCGTAGGTGACGAAGTAGGTGACGGGCTCCATGATGTCCCACGAGTACTCCCACCAGGTCAGCCGCGCCAGGATCCCTGGACGGCGGAACAGACCGTCAGTACATCAACAGCCGGTCTGTACAGTACGCGCCAGTATCCCTGGACGGCGGAGCACATCGTCAGTACATCAGCAGCCCGTCGGTGAAGAGCACTGCCTCACTACTCAGTACAGCGACCTGTTACCTTCAGCCGGTACACTCCGTGTAGTCACCTAAAACAACGGCAGCTATAAAACTATGAATAATGTCAGTGCCAGATATCTCCACTATAGGAAGCAGCCCAGTTTGTTACGCTGGCGGCGCACTCCGCTATAGGCGGCGGCCCGCGTGCCGGTCTCACCGAACTGGACGCCCATCAGGCCGAGGCCCAGCCAGGTCTGCAGGTTGGTCCGCCGGTGGCACGCCTCCTCCAGCTCCTTCTTCTTCTGCGGGCGGTCAAAAGACGGACGGTCAAAAGACGGACGGTCAAAAGACGGGCGGTCAAAAGACGGACGGTCAAAAGACGGACGGTCAGAGGGTCAGAGGGATAAGTGGTCAGAGGGACGGAGGGGGACAGAGACGGCGGGCGGTCAGAGGGACAGAGCCAGTCGGAGGGACAGGACGGTCATAAGGAAAGGGGTACTTACACGGGAATTCTAGTGTCCACACATCTCCTCTCCCGTCTCTGTTCCCACAGCCCGTCCCTGTCCGTCCGTCAGTCCCGCTCGGAGCGGTGAACAGCCTGACCCACCTTCTCCATGGGCGCCAGCTGCACCTTGAGGTCCTCCAGCTTGGCCAGGATCTCGCGCTCCTTTTTCAGCTGGTGCTCCTCCACGTTGAGCGCCTCGTACAGCTGCGACACCAGGTTCCGCACGTTGGAGAGCGTGGTGAGCTCCTCCTGCGGGCGGCACACAGTGACCGCGGTCAGCGCAGCACAGACAGCGCGGACAGCCGGAGTCTACGCCAGTGACCGGAGTCAGCGCCGCATTGACAGCGCGGACAGCCGGAGTCTACGTCACACAGTGACCGGAGTCAGCGCAGCATGGACAGCGCGGACAGCCGGAGTCTACGCCAGTGACCGGAGTCAGCGCGGCATGGACAGCGCGGACAGCCGGAGTCTACGTCACACAGTGACCGCGGTCAGCGCAGGCAGCGCGGACAGTAGGGACAGTAGGGAAAGCATGATCACCCGGGGTCAGCGGAGCACAGACAGCACGGACAGACGGGGTGAGCGGAGCACGGACAGCACGGACAGAAGAACACGGACAGACGGAGTGTACATAGTACAGACAGCACGGACACCCGGGGTCAGCGCAGCACGGGCAGCGGCAATGGCCGTAAAAACTCAGTATGACCCCGTACCGATAGACGGTATTGATCATGAATGAACCTTCCGGTGAGTACCTGTATGTGACCTTCGACAGCGAGAGAAAGGTCCCTGCCACTCTCGCCCACCGGACCCCCTAATTCCTCTAAGCCCCAGGCGCCACTTGGTTCTCTCTCCGGCACTGTAGACGCCGCCCGGTCCCGCCCAGTACACGGCACGGGGATTGCCGCGCCGTTTGGCGCCAAATTGGTCGACACTCATCTGCATAATGAGCGCAGAGAGCCGGCGCGCAGACGGCGCCCCGCTCCGGACGGTAACACCGGGCGGCGCCCCGCTCCGGACGGTAACACCGAGCGGCGCTCCGCTCCAGAGGGTACCGCAGACGGCGCCCCGCTCCGGACGGTAACACCGGGCGGCGGACGGCTCCAGAAGGTACCGCACACGGCGCCCCGCTCCGGACGGTACCGTCGGACTGCACATGGCTCCGGCCCGCGCCGGGTGCCTAGTCACATGTGGCATCCTGCAGTGACCTCCCCTCCCCGCGGTATCGGCGAGGGCCGACATTGACCTCCCTGCCCGCGCGCTACTGTACCTGCGAGGGCCGCTCCAGCTCTGGCGTCTTGACGTGGTAGACGTCGTCGTTGATGATGAGCTCAAAGTCCTCCTCCATCAGCGCCTCGATGCTGTCGCTGGTGGCGATCCGCGTCCCGCCTGCAGGTCAGATAGGCAGTTAGGCTGGGACAGATAGGCAGTTACCGGGCAGAGCGGCAGTTACACTGGTGGCGATCCACGTCCCGCCTGTCGCCCGACAGATAGGCAGTTAACGGAGGGCGGCAGTTACCCTACCTACCGGACAGATAGGCAGTTACCGGGCAGAGCGGCAGCTACACTGGTGGCGATCCGCGTGCCAACTACCGGACAGACGGTTAGCTGTTCTGCCGTGCAAAGGCAAAAACCATTATGTCGGGTCAGAGGCCATTATCTCAGGTCAGAGGTCACCCGAACATAATGGGTTTTGCCTTTATACGGCAGAGTTAGGCTGGTGTCGGACGGGACGGTGATTACGCTGCTGACACAGCGCCCACCTCGAGAGAAATGCTATGCAGTGTCCACAGCCAGTCAGAGTCAGAGCCAGTTAGCGCCCGCAGTACTTCCGCAGTTTCCGCAGCAGGTACTACTCACGCAGTGTCCTTAGTGTGCAGTGGGTACCCACGCAGTGTCCGCAGTCAGTGTCTGCAGTACTCACGCAGCGTCCACAGTACCTATTTACTTACGCAGTGTCCGCAGCACCCGCAGTATTGTACTCACGCAGTGTCCGCAGCACCCGCAGTATGTACTCACGCAGTGTCCGCAGTGTTTGCAGTATGTACTCACGCAGTGTCCGCAGTGCCCGCAGTATGTACTCACGCAGTGTCCGCAGTGCCCGCAGTATGTACTCACGCAGTGTCTGCAGTATGTACTCACGCAGTGTCCGCAGCACCCGCAGTATTTACTCACGCAGTGTCCGCAGTATTTACTCACGCAGTGTCCGCAGAGCCCGCAGTATGCACTCACGCAGTGTCCGCAGTGCCCGCAGTATGTACTCACGCAACGTCCGCAGCACCACGCGGTATGTACTCACGCAGTGTCCGCAGCACCACGCGGTCGATGCCGCGATCCTCAGTGTGCAGCTGGTCGATAAAGTCGCCCACCGTGTTACTGATGGGTTTCAGGGTGAAGCGGCACTTTTCCCGCCGGGACGGCAGCGGCACGGTGATCTGCGGTAGGCCGCGCGAGTAGGCCACCTCCACACCTGGCGGCAGAGGGGAGCGAGCGTCAGACAGGGTACAATTGTACAGGGAGCTCAGACAGGGTACAGGGAGCTCAGACGGGGTACTGGGACCCCAGACAGGTGCCTGACCGTAGAGTCCCCGTCAGGTCAGGTCAGCTTTAGGTTGGCCAGCGCGGCGGGATCGACACCGCGCGGCCCGCACTGGCCCTTCTGGCCTTCCATCCCGGACCGTCACCGTGGCTCTGCGCCCTGCGGCGGCCTCCGCGGCCGCTGGCCGACCGGGAGCGGACGGTGGAGCCCGCTAGTTGCGTGCCGGGCTGTGATTCTGAGCGGCGGCAGTGCCACTCGGCAGCGGCGGCGCACCAATACCGTCTCACAGCACAGCATAGCACAATACAATACCGGCCGGCCGCTCCGGGCCCGGGCAATGGGCCGAGGAGCGGCCCGTCCAGTGGCACAGACACACGCCTCAAACGGTAACTACCGGCCGCACGCAGCGCCCTGCCCAGTGACACACAGACACACGCCTCAAACGGTAACTGCCGGCCGCACGCAGCGCCCTGTCCGGAGACACACAGACACACGCCTCGAACGGTAACTGCCGGCCGCACGCAGCGCCCTGCCCGGTGACACACGCGCCTCAAACGGTAACTGCCGGCCGCACGCAGCGCGCAGGTAAAGCACGGAAAATCGGGAACGATCGTTCAGCACGAGTATACCAAATGCATGCCTACCACTGGCCGCTGAAGAAGCCCACGGGCTGCCGCATGTCCCTAAAATCTCGGATGCCTTTCAGGTCCAGTGTAAAGGTCAGGAGACGCGGCGGGCTGCGTCCCAGCTCCTTTGCCGCGGGCTCCGGTCGGCCGGTCCAGCTCATTGAAATGTCCGGCGACCGGAGACGGGCTCTCAGCCAGAGCCATGAGACCTCCTCCCACTTGGCTGAATGAAGCGGCCGGGAAGGAGGGAACGGCACTCAGTAAGTAGGACGTATGAGACCCTTCCGACACCGCTGAATGAAGCAGCCGGAGGGGCCGTATGAGACCCCTCCAACACCGCTGAATGAAGCGTCCGGCGGCGGCGACTCGCTCCAGACGCGGACAATCGATACACCAACAGCGGCGGAGACACACGGCCACGCCGCTGCCGGCAGAGCGGCCCAGGGAGCGGCCAGGAGACGTCACTGGCACTGAGCACAGGTGTCTGTGAGAGCCGGACTGCCTCCTCACAACCGGCGCGGCCGTGAACCAGCCCCGTGAGACCGGCCGTCCGTCCGGCCCCACCCGAGCCGCCGGCAGTGGGCCGCTGTGGCCCGAGCCGCCGGCAGTGAGCCGCTGTGACCCGAGCCGCCGGCAGCTCCCACGTGAGCGGCCACTCGGCGGTCAGTCCGAGGTCAGGGTCACGCCTGTGTGCGGCGCCGACCGGCCAGCCGCGGGCTGGACAGCAGCCTCCGGCGACTACAGCCGTACTCCCAGCGACACCCCGGCACCGTGAGAAGCCGCCCGGCCCCGGCCCGCAGCGAGCCCCACAGGCCGGCCCCGACCCGCAGTCCCGTCCCGCCCGGCCCCGTCCCGCAGTCCCACCCGGCCCCGGCCCCGTCCCGCGGTGACTCAGACAGCCCGCCTCCGGAGCCGCCGCCGGAGCGCAGGGAGCCACAGCCTGCCCGACACCGCACTCCACCGCCGAGCCACCAGGGCCCTGTTTCACCGCCCGACGCTGCGCGCGCTGCAGCGCGCTGGGAGCTGAGGCATACCCCTGACGTCACTCGAATGACGTTGCGTGCGATCCGTTAGCTTATGGTAAATCGCGTATGGAACAGAGACCTTGAAGAACCTAGTACCAATTGAACAGAAGTTTGAGTGTGAATACTGCTAGCGTGCGGATGGTGCTGGCGCCGGGGTGCTAGCGTTTTGTGATGACGTCATAGCGTAGCGTCAGAGGGAAGTTTGTTGATATTGCCATGGAAACCCAACGCGCCGACGCGCGCAGCGCACTGCAGCGCTCCGCCGTGAAACAGGGCCCAGGTCCCGCTGGCGCTGCAGTGTAACGCAATTTCGCATATCAGCAGGTGACAAGCACGGTTTACCACGTTTTCGACACGGAATTGAAATCAGTTACGAAATTCGAAATGAGAAGGGGATATGTATACCAAGCTGTCACGGCTAGGAGGGCGCGGCCTTCCGACCGGGCCCCTGTCGACGGCGTCACGGAGTCACGGCGTCACGACCGGCGGCGGGCCGTGACGGCCCGGGACACGGTCAGCCTGCGTGACGCGTCACGGCGCGTCACAGCCTCGTCAGCGGCCGTCACACGATTCAAACTGCACCGGCGGCCGTCACACGGTTCAACCTGCACTGGCGGCCGTCCGAACGGAACGTCTGGCCGGCCTAGCCCGACTGTCGATATTTCGCCAGACGCTGTCGAATTTTTGCCGGACACATAAAAATTAGAGCTGACACTGCCGACATTTGGTCGGACACTGCCGACACAAGATGTGACACTTGCTCTAGATCTGGCCGGACAGTCGGGTCAGCGCGGCGGTGGGCACACAGTCTGTCCTCCGACACAGACGGCATGCACACACAGCACACCGCACAGAGGTCTGCGGAGGGAGGGCGGCACCAGGGCGCATTGCACTACTCAACATTACGGGCCCGTGCGACCTGGGAGGCCGGCCGATACCCCTGCTGGTCAGACGTGGCCGGGCCACTGCTCTGTCCAAGCCCGCGGGACTACGGGAGCGAGTCCGTAGGTACCCAGTTAGGGGAGAGTGGGGTAATTTGGCCGGTGGTGTAAATTGGCCGCCCCCACCTGTACGATGTCTTATAAAAGTGAGTGAAATGACTCTCTCTATTCATTTGTCATGGGTAGAAATAACTGGAGGACAAATGTCAAAACTTTGCCCCTCATAGTTTTATTCAAAATTAATAAAACGTTAATTTCATTAGAAAATGGTAACTTTTACTTCTGTTTACAAAGCTGTATAACATGTAGTATTTGGGCTAAAAACGAATTCAGACATTATAGCGCCATTCTTGGGGGTGTTCAGCGGTTCCAAGAGCAATTTTATCTAATTCCGTAAAGCCGTGATGACTTTATAGACATAAATTTTCAGAATGGCAATATGGGGTAATTTGGCCGGGACTAGTGGGGCAACTTGGCCGGTGCGCTCATGGTCACTATGCTGGGACGGCCGAGTTTTCATGGTCAATTGTACCATAAATGACATGATTCATGACCAACTTTGACTTCTTTGATGCCTTACTTCCGATTGGTCAACTGTAAGAGGATGTGACGTCATCAAAGGTTACCAAACGTTTTTTTGCTAATAAATCCTTACATAAAAATGGTACAGCCGCACAAATGGTCTCATTCTGTTCAGCTCGCCAAGGCGCATCGAATGATATGCATGATGACCTTGAAATCACGTGACCTTGAGGTTAAGCGACCTGATGCAACGTGACCTGAGGTCAACCTTTGACCTTGACTTCTCAAGGTCAACACATATATCTTTCGATGCGGACTGACGAGAGAATTACGATGGTACTCAAAGTTTTGGCCTAGCTTGATTACTTCCAAAGTTATTCGTAAAAAACGGTGATCGCATCTAGAGCCGCTAATTTGGCTATTTTGACCCCTGTGACCCCTGAGCCAACCTCCAAAATGCAGCAAATGCGTCATAGGACACACGTCATTGCTGAAAGTGAAGCTGACTCGCCTATAACAAAAATCATGGCCTCAAACTAACACCGGCCAAATTGCCCCACACCCCAGGCCAAATAACCCTGCTAGTGGGGCAATTTGGCCGCCTTGCAGACCTTTGTAATACGTCACAATTTCAATATAAGTAATTACTCTATCATTTCAAGTTCACTGTCCAGTAAAGTAAAACGAATGCGACACCTGCCAGCGTTGAGAAAATGCAGAAATGTGTCGTCAATTTTAAGTTATATCGTTTTCTAAAAAAAGCGGCCAAATTACCCCACTCTCCCCTATGGCAGTAATCTGCAGGAGGTATACCCGACCGCGGACAGCACGTCCCCGGTGTCCGGGTACCATCTCTGGGCAGCGGTTTGGAGCGCTCTCCGCGCGGCTCCATTTCCGCACCGCCGAGCGGCCATCCATTCTAATCAGCTGCTAATGGAACGGTCCGCGCCGACGACGGGTACGGGCAGCAGACGGGACCGGCAGCGTACGGGGCCGGCAGCGTACGGGGCCGGCAGACGGGGCCGGCAGCGTGCGGACCGGCAGACGGGTCGGCCGGCAGCAGACAGGACCGGCAGTAGCCTCGTCCCGTCCCTCCCCGTCCCATCGCCTCCCCCTCCCCAGGACAGAACCCACTCCCGTCCCATATCTCGTAACATGGATACGGTAGCATATAATGCAGATTGCAGCCCATGCGCCATACATGAAAGAGCTGCAGAATGTATCCAGAAGCAGGACGGTACGAACCACGCCCTCCACCTGCGGGCTCGTTGTGCAGCCCCTCCCCTCCCTAATGTTGTGGACTCTACCCTCCCCCCTCAGCTCACCGCCGCGGGGCAGCAGCGCGCGGCTCGCGTGCCGTTTCCCTTTCAGGCCGAGCGCCGGCGCCTCGGCCGCCACAACAAGGCATTTTATCGTGGGAGCCGACCTTGGCGGCGGCCGCTGCGGCCGCGGCTGGCCGGTCCCACGTCCGGTCCGCCGCCGGTCCCCGGCCGTGGGGACGCCCGAGGCAGCGAGGACCAGTCACCGCCGACTCCTGGAGCCGACTCCCGGAGCCGTGGGGGCTCACAGAGAACCCGTCACCGCCGACTCCCGGAGCAGACTCCCGGAGCCGTGGGGACGCCCGAGGACCAGTCACCGCCGGTCCCGGGCCGTGGGGACTCACGGAGGACCCGTCGCCGCCGACTCTCGGTCACAGAGGACCCGTCACCGCCGACTACCCGGGGCTCCCATAGGACCAAAGGACCACAGGTCCCGACTCCGAGTGTTTGCAATGTAGCTGGACAGTGAGTACCCCGCACTCCGGCCCTCCCCGACCG